AGGGGGGTCGTCTTATAATCAGGGTCATCTTATATTCGGGCCAATACGGTAATAATAATCTGAATTAATATAATAATATAAATGTAACAATTAAACATATAATAAAAAATTTAAATTATTATGAATAATATTTTACTATGAATAAAAATTAAAAAGTATATATAATATATAATTTATTTTATAATTTATTAAATAAAAAAATGAAAAATGTAAAAGGCTAAAAAAAAACAATTAAGAACAATTATTTAAATAGTAATTTCTCAACCGTTTTCATGAGATTTGCTTTAAAAGGCTTTAAACGCTCTGTTTTGTAATCTGGACGGTTGGCTGATGGTATGTGATTGTGCGGGTGGATCTGTCCTGTGTTTTAATTGGTGGGACGAGCAGACGATCTGCTGCGCTGCAAGTTTCTTCAGTACTCAAGCACCTCCTGCCGCTATCGCTGGGTGAAGAGCATCAGGCCTCGGCCCAGCTGGCCAGATCCGTCAGCCGCATTACACCGCTGCTGTCGCTACACAAACCTCAGCGCTCTCCTTCTGTTCCCACTTGATCCACCACAATCACTTAAAGAGCTTCCCGGTGCAAACTAACCATTCACAGCAAATCAGTTCCAGACGCAGCATCATGTTAACAACACTGGATAATAGAGCGACTTGAGAACAACAAGTGGAGTGGAGTGGAGTTTTTACTGCTTATAAGAGTGAGATATTAAAACTCAAGACTTCAGATCCCATCCAACAAGATAAACCATCGGAGTAAGGCTGAAAAAAGCAGCAGAAAACCTGCTATTAACTCTTTCCCCGCCAGCATTTTTGAAAAAAGTTGCCAGCCACCGCTAACGATTTTGATGATTTTCACTCAAATTTGATGGCCTCCAGAATATTTTGCTGTATTGAATCAGTTTTATTCTAGCTAAAAGCATTCTTTTTTTTAATCAACACTTGAATATAGGTAGGTTTCATAAAAATGCATAATTTTGAGCAAAAAGGTGAGAAAATCCAATTTTTATCAAAAACTACATCTGGGTAGTATTCAGTACGATTATCAAAGCATAAATCCAGTAAATCGCTTCTATCAACACCTCCAAAGCTTGCACAGACATATACCACTTCCTGGATCAAAGAGTTAACATCCATCTTGGGTGATTTAAGACAAAGTAATGCATTTCATATTCATATATTCGTTTATTCAACTCATATATTCATTTCATATATTCAAGTTAATATTGAATATCTTCAATCATAGCTCATATTTCAAAACAAAACAAAATAAAACAAAATAAAATAAAACAAATAATTAAAGTTGTTAAACAAACCCGATTAATCGCAATTAATTTCAGAAAAATGTGCGATTAATTAGTATTTTTTTTAATCGATTGACAGCACTAAATATAATATATAATTAAAGTTGTTAAACAAACCCATAGTCCTAAGTATTAAGCTTCTAAAAAATAAATACAAAAAATGAATATCAGATATTAAATACACATTAAAAATGTATATAATATAATATAATATAATATACCGGTGCATCTCAATAAATTAGAATGTCGTAGAAAAGTTCATTTATTTCAGTAATTCAACTCAAATTGTGAAACTCGTGTATTAAATAAATTCAATGCACACAGATATATAATTACATTTGTTAAACAAACCCATAGTCCTAAGTATTAAGCTTCTAAAAATAAATACAAAAAATTAATATAATATATAAAATACACATTAAAAATGTATATAATATAATATAATATATAATTAGAGTTGTTAAACAAACCTGTAGTCCTAAGTGTTAAGCTTAGTGTAAAACTAAGCTTAAAACTAAGTGTAAAACTAAAAATAAATACAAAAAATAATATCATATATTAAATACATATAAACATTTTTTATAATATAATATAATAACTAGAGTTGTTGGATAAACCCCTAACCCTAAGTATTAAACTTCTAAAAATAAATGCAAAATTAAAAAATATATTTTATTTTAATCTAACATAATATCATTTCCAAGTAAGATCTGTTACATAACCATTTTAATGATTTTTTTAAAGTGACTTTTAAAATGACCAAGTTGTTGAACAGATCACTGATACCTTCTGGGAGCTCCGTCCTCATACGGCTGGATAATGACCACCTTGACGGAGATGGAGGTGCGCAGCAGGTCGATCATCTGCTCGTGGGTCAGCGTGGCCACCGCCACCTTACAGATCTCCACCAGCCGGCTGCCCTGCCGCAAACCGGCCTTCCAGGCGTATCCGAACGGCTCCACGTCAGCCACGATGCCCTCGAAGTTAACGTGGAAGCCGAGCTGACCGAGACCGTTCCTGCGCAAGGTCATCTCTGTGGTCTCACAGCCGCGCGTCACCATCTGGAGCAAGACAGAGAGACCGAGAGAGAAATCAGCCTCTATGTATTACAAATTATCAGTCACAAAAAGCATCATACAACTTCAGAAAATTCACATTCACACTACTTTTAATGGCACTTTTTTTCATTTGTGAGCTTGAAGGAAAAGGGCAGCGTGGACATTCTTCACAATTCTCCCTTTTGAAAAGTCATTTGGGTTTGGAAACATGACGGTAGGTAAATAATGCCAGCATTATTTCCGGGTGAACTGCTCAGATGTGAAGGACAGACGGTCACAGGGAGACGAGCCAAAAAAAGAGATAAAACCAACGTCCCCCGGCAACATTTAAATCCAAGCGGGACGGATGCGTGACTGTATGTCCTCTCAATCTAAAGAGCCTTTCATATGGAAATAAAGACAAGGGCACTCCAGGGAAAATGTTTTTTTTTAGAAAGGAAAAAACTGATCTGGGAGATACAAAGAATCAGTGGAGAGAAAGAATGAGAAAGCAATGATCTTCAGTCCGATGGTAAAAACAGAAAACATTTACAGTGCAAGATCAAGAAAGTAAAGTTTATTACTTTTAAATTAGATCAAATTAATATAATATAATACATATAATAAATATAATATAATATAATATATGTTAGTTATTGAACAAACCCCCATCCCTTAGTTTTTTTTATTAATTAAAATATATGAATTTATAATATAGATTAGAATTGTTCAACAAACTATTAAACTTCCAAAAATAAATAAAATTTAAAAATGTAATATAATATAAAGTTGTTGAACAAACTCCTAATCCAGAGTATTATATTTAAAAAATATGAATATGAAAATATAATATATAACAGATCACTAGTTGATGAACAAATCCCTAAAATAAAATAAATAAATAGAAGTATTATAAATTAATATAATATAATGTAACAATATAATATAATAATAAAATGCAATATAATAATAATAATAAACTTTTAAAAAATAAATCTAAAAAAATGTGGCTTGTTAAGGAGTGGTGTTTAATTCATTTGGTGCTGCTAGTGGCACAGAAATGACACAGTGCCACTCTACAGACGGGTTTTCCTCAGGACCTGCCCATCTTGAACTGGTTTGACTGATTTTCTTTGGACTCCGGTATCAACGGGTGTAAGTAATTAGCATTAATCCAGTATAAACACGCCATTGATGCTGACTGCTGCTTATGTTCACACGGTCATGTGACACGCCGCTGTCGCGCAATCTCATTCAATCATTAGGGTGCATTAACGAGAGCTGAGCTCCAAACCAGCAGGACTATGGGAAAACAGGAGTGGACGGGCAGGTGAAGGGTTAAGAGCACATATACTGTATGAGAGTACATTGATTAGTAAATGTGTATTTGATTAGTCGGGGGAGTCATTGGTTTGGTGAGTCAGTAAATACTCTGAGGAGAGGCTGATCCGTCTTAAAAGCTTTACCGTAATAAGCCCAGCTAGCGAGAGTGACTCACTGTTCACTTGATTTCAACTGTTAGTAGTAGTTAGTAGTTAGTCAACAAATACAGTCATGTTAAAGCACTGATTCAGCGACAGACATATTAGTTTGAATGAAGGACTGAAACCATAACAGCTTGAGTCTGTTTTCAGGATTCAGACCAACAGACCAATCAGCTGTGAGCTTGAGTCTGGACTTCAACTATTACAAACTTATTTAACTGCCATCCATTCATACAACAACGACATTGAATTAATTACTTTACTTATTTTTTAGAAAAGCAAAATAATGTTGTGCACAATGTTGAAATGTGCACAAATTGTTAGTATTGCTTCAATCTTCACATACATACTGCACGTGTTAAAAACAAAAAGATTATTCAATTCAGAAGTCCAGAAAATAAATCATTTGCTTTGATGTAAAAATCAAATGTAAACATAATAAATAAAATGTTTAGCATAAATAAATAAAATGAATAATTATAAAAAATTAAAAAAAAAATAATACAAAATGTAAAAGCTAGAAAAGATTCAATTTCCATGATGCAATAATCAAATGTCATGCAAATAAGTAAATATAGAAAAAAATACATGTAATTCAGGCTAGAAAAGATATCAATTTTATTTGATGCAATGATTAAATGTTATGCAAATATATAATTAACAAAACTGATAGAATGAATAAATAAATGCAATTAAAAATTAGAAGGCCAGAAAATTTTATTTTTTTTATGTAGTAATCAAATGTTGTGTAAATACTGATTGCATACCGATAGCATAAATAAATAATAGAAAATAAAAATATATAATTAAAATTTGAAAGCCAGAAAAGATTTGATGTACTAATTAAATGTTAATTAAATGTAATAATGAATACAACTGATAACATAAGTAAATAAATAAAAAAGCATAAATAAATAACAGAAAATAAATATTAAAATTGTTAGAAAGCCAAAAAAATATATCAATTTTCTTTGATGTACTGATCAAATGTTATGTAAATATATACTTGATAAAATGGATGAATAAATGAATGAATGAATGAATAAATAGATAAACAAATTAGCCGGCCAGAAAATATATACATTTTTATTGATTACATTTTCAAATGTTATGAAAAAATAAATAAAATGAATAATTATAAAAAAAAAATAATAATAATACAAAATGTAAAAGCTAGAAAAGATTCAATTTCCATGATGCAATAATCAAATGTCATGCAAATAAGTAAATATAGAAAAAAATACATGTAATTCAGGCTAGAAAAGATATCAATTTTATTTGATGCAATGATTAAATGTTATGCAAATATATAATTAACAAAACTGATAGAATGAATAAATAAATGCAATTAAAAATTAGAAGGCCAGAAAATTTTATTTTTTTTATGTAGTAATCAAATGTTGTGTAAATACTGATTGCATACCGATAGCATAAATAAATAATAGAAAATAAAAATATATAATTAAAATTTGAAAGCCAGAAAAGATTTGATGTACTAATTAAATGTTAATTAAATGTAATAATGAATACAACTGATAAAATAAGTAAATAAATAAAAAAGCATAAATAAATAACAGAAAATAAATATTAAAATTGTTAGAAAGCCAAAAAAATATATCAATTTTCTTTGATGTACTGATCAAATGTTATGTAAATATATACTTGATAAAATGGATGAATAAATGAATGAATGAATGAATAAATAGATAAACAAATTAGCCGGCCAGAAAATATATACATTTTTATTGATTACATTTTCAAATGTTATGAAAACATAATTAATGAAACTGGTAGCATAAATAATAAATACATTGATGAAAATAATAAAAGATGATATCAGTTTTTTTTTTACGTTATATCAAATTTTATTAAAATAAAATATGAATGAATGAATGAATGAATGAACGAATGAATACATGAATGAATGAATGAATGAATGCATGTAAGTATGAATGAATGTATGTATGTATGTATGAATGAATGAATGAATGAATGAACGAATGAATAAATGAATGAATGAACGAATGAATAAATGAATGAATGAATGAATGAATGAATGAATGGCACCAGCAATGGCAATGCCATGGGTTCGATCCCCAGCAATACAAGTTGCTTCGGAAAAAAGCATCTGCCAAATGCATAAATGCAAACGTAAGCTCCATGTGTACATAACACACACACACACACACACACACACACACACCAATGAATCATTAGCAATAACACCAGGAACCTGTAGTAAACAAGCACATTTTGGGTGTTTTGATTTCACACTGAGTTTAAAGCAGCCCAACCTTGTGCTTTCCTTAAACACACATTATTAGACAGATCAATGAGACGCTGAAGCACTGCTGGTCAACTGCTACAGTATCAGCGTTTTCATTCATTCCAGTGAATAACTACACACAGAACAACAAACAAACTCCAAGACAAAGCAAACTGTGAAGTGAGTGAGCTGCGGTGATCCTCAGAGGGAGCTGAGCTCTCGCTCTTCCCACACGTCTGTGTCTGCGCTAAACTGCTTTCGAGAGAGCAATCTGTTGTGTCCCGTAACACTGACGTGAGAGAGAAGCACACATGCAAACTGCTAGTATGAGCCAAAACCGTGATATTTCACAAACACGGTGTCAAAACTAGTGTTATACAACAAGTCTCCAATAGAGGCATTTTAGCACTTACAAGACTCAAAATATAGTCCAAAATGACAATAATCACAGTTCATCGCAATATATATTAAACCTTTAAAATGCACCAGGTGATATTTTCCTTATTTAAGACGAACTCTTTTGACAAATATGTTTAAAATTACCTATATTTACTGTGATGTAAATATATAATGAATAAAATTGATAGAATAAATAAACAAGCCTGTGAATTTTTGGCAACACTTTACAATGTTTCATTTGATTACATTAGCCAACTACATCAGTCAAAGTTGCAATGAAACGTATTGTGATGTAAATTCAAGTGAAATTGACTACTGAAAAAATAAAGCAATTAGAACATAGATTTCTACATTTCTGAATTTTGACATTTCTGGAAAAACATTTTGAAAAAAAAATTATTATATAAATATATATTAATATATAATTTAATGAGACTAGGAAAATATCTATAAACAGCAGTTTTTCTATAAATTACTTTTTGTTATGTAATATAAGTTTATGTTACATAATTTATATTTATATTTCTAAATGTGGATTTAATTAACAGGTAACACTTTACAATAAGGTCCCATTAGATAACAATAATTAATACATAAACTAAATGAGTGCTTATTAATCTTTGTTAACATTAATTAAAAAAACAACTGTTCATTGTTAGTTCATGTTAGCTCAGGTACAATAAATAAAATGAACAGATACAACTTTTGATTTTAATTTATTAGTAAATTATAAATATAAAATATGATTAATAAAATGCTTTACAGGTATTGTTAATTCATGTTAAATAATCTTAACAAATGGAACCGCATTGTAAAGTGTTACTGTGTTATCTTATGAGCCTAGAAAATATGGAAAAGGCACTTTTCTGACTTTC